TTTATATAGCTAAAGAAATAATGTAAAGCAAAATGATTATGAATATGCTTTAAAATGAGTTGAAACTTTAAGACTTAGAATAAATTATAATATGGGTTCTTGAGATCGTCTCTGTTTAATCCTAATATATGTTGTGCTAGAGACTTTTTCATGTATTGATAAGTCTAACCAGAAACTCAAGACTGATAGATAGTTAAATAAATACATACTAAAGAAATTCTTAGGTGACAATTTTTTTATTACATAATATATCTGAATCCACTGTTTATATTCTAACTGTAATAATATCAATTTTCAAAATAAAATATGTAATTTCAACAAATATAATGTCATATTAATAAAGTTACTGTATGTGATATACTGTTTATATATTTATTGAATACACATAAAATATTTTAGATATTTATTCTTCATATAACTAATATATATATCTTCTAGCAAAACTATTTAATAATTTAGTTCTCATAATTATCAGAAGAACTACTGTAGTTATCAGAAAACCTGTCATAATAAGACAAATTATCGTCATTAGAAAAATCATCATTACTAAAAAAATCATTATTACTGTTTTCATCTGAAAAATTATCACCACTAAAAAAAATCATCACTACTAAAACAATCATTACCAGAAAAGCTATTATCATCATCAAAGAAATCATCATTAAAAACTATACTTTGGTCTGCTATTTTAAAGAAGTCTATAATAGATTTCTGATTCATAGACTCAGTAACTTTTCGTTTCATTAATGGTAAGTATTTACAAAATACTTTTATATCATTGTTATTAAAAAAAAAGTTATAGCATATTTGTTGTTTAGCAAACAAGATAAAATTTTTCAACCAAACTAATTCTTTAGAAGGAGAGATTTTTGGTAGTTCTTTATCAGAATCATCTAGATCACCCTGTTCGTACTCTAATTGTTCTGCTAATACAGTTTCAACAATCTGAGTATCATCTAGTGTTTCTTCTGTAGAAATATGTGTATTATTAATTTTTCTGTACGTTTCTATTTCTTGTGTAACCATTGAATCTAGATCTTCGATAAGATCAACTACTAAACTACATATTTCACTTTCTTCATATTCAATTGATTCAAGGTACGTATTTTGTGTAAGTTCAATATCAGTATTCGATATCAAGGGTAAAATACTAGTCTTAGTCCAACAATTTGCTATTGTTAACTCATCTACTTTATCCTACAAAGCTGCTACATAATCGATGACTTCTTTAATATTTAATTTATTCCTATTATAGCAGAAAATAATAAATTTTAATTTATAAAAAGTATATTTAATTTTGAATATGCAATATATTTACTCAGAATTCTGAATGTCTAGTCTCCTTTCAAATTGATCTAAGATATGTTGAATATATTTTTTGATATTTTGCCTTGAAACATTTAATA